TTTTTTTTTTCCCCCTCCTCTCGGCTCACGCCCGTCGTTACCTTAGATCCATCCCATCTGTCCCACCCCGCGTAGCTCCGTAGAAATCATCTCAGGACATCTCTAAGGGGCCATGTTAATCTTGTCTAGGTTCTCTGTATAGTTCCAATTTTAACGATGTCCGGGGGCCAAGTCCCACTAGCAGCGTTGAGTTTCCGCAACGTCCGAATTTGGACGTGTTTGTGGAGATGTGCAGAAAATCACGTTTAGTTTCTGCAACCGCACATCTCCACAAATACGTCCACATTCAGACGTTGAGGAAACTCAACGCTGCTAGTGGGACTTGGCCCCGGAAGGACTCCTGCACGAGGATGAAGCACGCGAATGGAGACATGAGACGGAAAGGAAAAAAAAAAGAAAAAGAAAAAGAAAAAGAAAAAAGAAAAAGAAGAAAAAAAAAGAAACAGGGCGGCTCCGCTCGCCGGCGCTGGGCTCCGCTTGAGGACGTCCAATTGACTCCTCACGCACCTATGAGATGCGCTTTTGCGGCAGCTTGGCGCGCAGATCCGCAAGTTACAGCTCGATTCACACCTGAAGCTCCGCCCGTTCCCTGCCCCTGTTCCACTTTACGACTTTGCTTGGCCGCTGCCGTCTTCACCAGAATAGAACGCCAGGTCACGACAGCCGTATTTGCGCAACGTTCAGTCCAGATGCAGCGATAATGACCGGCCGTTCTATTCGTTCCGTAATCTTTACGAGATCGATCTTTTTTTTTTTTTTTTGTTTTTTTTCGTTAGATCATCAGGTTACCAGAGTGGCCCGGGGCCAGTTGCCCGGCCGGGCCAAAGAAAAAAAAATAAAAATAAATAAAGTTATTTTTGAACTTGATTTTTTATTTTAAATTTGGTAAAGACTTGCGATGTGACCCTGAGGCAAAAGTTGTTTATTGTATTTTTCTGCATAACATAGTTTTTTTTCGGATGTTTTGGATTTTTTTCTTTTTTTCTTTTTGCTAGGACCTTCCCTGGGCCTTGCACGGCCGGGCCGTCCGGGAAAATAGGGTGACCCGGGCGTCCCGGCTGGTAGCCTAGCTAGATCATGTTTTGCCTGATAGCTGACCCGTATGCTTTATGCTTCTTCGTCGGGCAGCTCCTCCCTTCCAACCATAACTCTCCTTAGGCTACTATCACCTGTCCCTCTATCGTCTTCACCGGAATAGAACGCACCACCATTACCGCTGTATCTAGAATGAAATTGCGCCGAATACAGCTATAATGACCGTGTGTTCTATTCGGGGAAAGACGAGAGTCACGTCCTTCTGCTCTCTTTTGCTCTCCTCCCCTCCGTCTTTCAAATTCCTTTCCTAATATGCCACGACTGAAGCGGCAAGGTCCAATCAAACAGTTCATCAATCATCAATCATCAATCCATCCATCATCAGTCATCAATCCATCAATCAATCCATGAAATAATCAACGCCCGTTAACCAATCAACCAATCAATCAGTCAATCAATCAGCCCATCAACCAATCAATCAATTAATCATCAATCATGAATCATCAATCAAACCATCAATCAAACTATCCATCAAACCATCAATCAATCCATCAATCATCAATCAAACCATCAATCAAACTATCCATCAAACCATCAATCAATCCATCAAATAGTCGCCACCCGTCAACCAATCAATCAGTTAATTAATCAGCCCATCAACCAATCAATCAGCCCATCAACCAATCAATCAATTAATCTGTCCATCAGTCCGATCAACCAATCCACCAATCTTCCATCATGAATCCATCGTCGATTCATCCATCCAGCAATCCACGAAGCAATCAATCAGTCGATCAATCAATCCATCAACCAATCAATCACTTAGTCTATCTACCAGTCCAATCCATGAGTCCATCAGTCCATCAATCCATCAATCATCTAGCATGTCCACCATCGATCAATCCATCAATCCATCAATCCATCAATCCATCAATCAATCCACGAAGCAATCAATCAGTTCATCCATAAGCTGACTTAGTTTACACAGTGTCCAGCAGCAGTCCATCAATCCATCAATCCATCAATCCATCCATCAATCAATCAATCAATCAATCCATCAATCAATCAATCGATCAATCAATCGATCAATCAATCCATCAATTCGTCGATCAATTGATCCAGAGATCAATCCATGAATCCACCAATTAACCAAAGCATCCATCATCCCATCAATCAATCCACCC